TTAAACGTTGAGGAACTGCAGTTTTTTGACCTTGTTGAAGTCATCCGGATCAAAGAATTTGCTTTTGGGAAATTTGAAAGCTGGCTGATGAGCCGTTTGTTCCAGTAAAATGGGGTGGTGATAATTAACCTGACTTGTCTGCTGCTTAGGAGAGGGTTGGTGCTGGCCACTTTTTCAAAGGTGAGCAGGGAAGGGGAGTGTGTAGTGAAAAATAGGCAAAATAATGCAATATCTGGTAAGGAAGTGAGGTTATTGCTGGGCAGCCATAGGATTCCATAAAACTAACACATAACCTCACCCAGGGGGAAAAAAAAAAAAAAAAGACTTAAATATTGCTTGACATAAGCAATATTTCAACAGTTGTCAGCAGTATATGTCAACAGTTGTCAGGCACGTGACTTGGGGCTGCATGGTGTTTTGATGAATTAAAAACCCGCAGGCGGTGACACGGCCACAGGGTGACAGTTTCACATCGCGCGTTGTCACCGGAGGGTCAGCGTCATCCAGATACACTTCGGTGGGATCCCAAGGATGCTTTCTTTGGCCCTGAAGAGCCAATTTATCATCTCTTCAGGAGAAAAGAAATTTGCAGACAATAAAGCTGTTGGGACAGCTTCCGTCTTCGGACGAGGTGCCTGCAAGCGAGTTGGATGCGTTTGGGAAGGGCTTGCTGATCGGGCTGGAGGGATTCACGTGGATCTGGAGAGCAGGAGGCTGGAACAAACAGCTTTTCAGGGAATTTTTTTGGATCCCCTGAAGGAAACCTGTGTGCACAGTCCAAAGTGCAAGAAGAGCCGTCAGCGTTACGCTCTGCCTTGCATTTTGCAGCAGCAGCAGGTATATTTGTGCTGGGGCATCCAGCCGGCACGGGGATGGGTGGAGCAGCACGGGGTGAATGTCCTGCTGCACCAAAAGGCCTGATTTGTGTCGATCGTCACAGGAGTGGTGAAGTGACTCCATGTGGCAGCATCCTAAATGCTCCTGGTTTACGAGCATCTACCTAGGGATTTAAAACTTGCCAACTGAGGGCTCTGCAGGCTGGAAGATACTGACATAATGAGGTAAAACCATGGGGAAGCAACAGTGTAACACAGTTGGACCAGACATAAAGCGTAAGTTTTTTGCAAGAAGGTTGGTGGTGGTTCTCCTGGGTTCAGGGAGGTCCATGGATGGTGAAGATGGTACCCAGCTGGCTGTGCAGTCCGTGATTCCAGTAGGAAAGTTGTTCTTCGTTGTCTTGTGAAACTTAAAAACTATCCGACATCATCCTCTGTTGAAAGAAATGTCCTGTAGCTTCATAGACTCGTAGAATCCCAGACTGGTTTGGGTGGGAAGGGACCTCAAAGATCGTCTAGTCCCAACCCCTCTGCCATGGGCAGGGACACCCTCCACTAGCCCAGGTTGCCCAAAGCCCCATCCAACCTGGCCTTGAACACTGCCAGGGAGCCAGGGGCAGCCACAGCTTCTCTGGGCACCCTGTGCCAGGGCCTCAGCACCCTCACAGGGAAGGATTACTGCCTCACATCCCATCTCCATCTCCCCTCCTGCAGCTTCAGGCCATTCCCCTTGGCCTGTCACTCCCTGCCCTTGTCACCAGTCCCTCTCCAGCTTTCCTGGAGCCCCTTCAGGGACTGGAAGGGGCTCTAAGGTCTCCCCGGAGCCTTCTCTTCTCCAGGCCGAACAACCCCCACTCTCTCAGCCTGTCTCCATAGCAGAGGTGCTCCAGTCCTCAGTCCATCTCCGTCGCCTCCTCTGGACTCTCTCCAACAGCTCCATGTCCTTCTTGTCCTGGGGACCCCCGAGCTGGACGCAGCACTGCAGGGGGGTCTCCCCAGAGCGGAGCAGAGGGGCAGAATCCCCTCCCTCGACCTGCTGGTCACGCTGCTGGACACGCAGCCCAGGACACGGTTGGCTTTCTGGGCTGCCAGCGCACATTGCCGTTATTCCTCATAATAAATATTGGCAGGCAAGGACTCTGTGAGGCAAGGTGTCCGGGAAGGCAGTGGAGATCACCGAGGTGATGCTGGGATCGCAGAGGTGATGCTGGGATCCCGGCCCATGGTTACCGCTGCAGGATTCCTGCAGAACTGCCGTGACACGAACAATTTATGCCAACACAAGAGTTTGCGCTGGGTGTCTCTGGTGTATTTGGTTTAGTTTTAGGTCATCTGCAGTAGACTTAACCACCTTGCCTGGCTCTGTCTTGGAAGTATGACCCTGAAAACATGAACCAGGTCTTGCATACCATCCGTGCCGTGCTGGGCTGCCCCGTGGCCCATGGCTTAAGGGTTTCCCAGCAGTGACACAAAGCTGGTTCACGCATCCCTGGTATTTTCACACATCTCTGGTAATCCTGCAAGTGGCTGCGGTACAGGGTTCTGGCTCTTTCCAGCCCCACGGTGTTAATTTTCCGTTGATGGAAAAGAGGTGACAGAGGAAATGACCTAAAAGCTGAATATTGGAGTCTGGATTGATGGGGCACAGAGGGAAGCTGCTGGGCAGGACGGAGTAATTGAGGAGGTGAGAGGACGGGAGTAGGGAAGGGATGAGCACACAGTTTGGTGTGAAGGGCGAGAAAAACGTGGGGAGGAGCGGGGCTGAGGGTGGTGGGACAGAGCGAGGGGCCGTGGCGGGGCAGAGGGGCAAGGAGAAGAACGGCAGAAGTCACACAGGGGTGTGAAATGCTGTGAAATCTTTGAGTCGTCAGAGGCTGCTCCTCTTGCCTCCTTGACGGTAAGCTCTTCCATTTGTCCCGGGCTGGTTCCCACATGCCAGGATTGAGTTTATTTTTCCATTCTGCTGTAGCCAAGTTTGTCATTTAATAAACATCGGCCCCCCCCACCCCGATCTCTGTCCCCTCTGTAAGCCAGAGGAACAGATGGGAGGGCAAAGGACCAGAAATGCCTGGCACTTCCCAGAGCTGGAAGGGAGAGAACCAAAGATTTTTTAGATTAAAAAAAATAAAAATAAAATCATGCCTTTCTCAGCTCTGTCTTTGTTCCTTTGTGCCGTTCGATCCTGATCCCAACGCCTCACCTGCATGGGAGCGAGCCTGTGAAGGGTGAGCGTGCCTGGCTGTCACCACCTCCTGGCTCTTGGAGCAAGGCAGAGGGACTTTGCCCGCTTGTTTTTGAGCATTTGAGTCTGGGTTCATCACAGAGCAGCGATAGTAAGCTGACAGCATCTGACAGGGTGTTGGAGGGGATGACAGTCTATGGACACAGGGGCATTTGTTAACGAAAACAGCTGCAGCTCATGATGCAAAGCAAACAGCTTCTACATGGCTTCAATTCCAGCTTTGTCTCTTTGTTGACCAGGGACCAGCCATGCTCCGGCACACTCAGCAGCAAAGACCAATACCTGAGGGGCAGGCTGCGAAGGAACCCGCTATTAAACAGGGGAATGAAGTGAGCGGAAGGTGTTTTCTCATCCTGTAGTGGTTGTCCACCCGAAGCTCTCCTGAGCCCCTCAGTCTGAGCAAGAAGAGTTAAACGCAGCGGCAGGGCAGCCTGGGGAGGGCTGCTGGTGAACCCTGGCAGCAGGCTTGCACGCTTGGTCTTTGCCCTGTTCTCTGAAGCATCTCACAAATTTCCTTGGCTCCTCTCCTAACCAGCTCCACGTGAAGACCCGGTGTGGAAGGGAGACTGCTGCCGGGACTGCCCCGCAGCCTGGTGCCGCTCGTGGGGTTTGGCTCCCGTGCCACCGATGTCACGTGAGGCTGGACCGAGCGAGGCGTGACGAGCCGGAGGAGTTTGCAATAACCCTTCTCCCGTTTGGTGCGGCTGAAACCTCGAACGGCGGAGAGGTGGGGCAGGCACTAGACGACCAGCCGTGTGTTCTGACAGTGCTGAGCCTTCCACCCCTGTAAAAGTCAACTTATTTGCATGCTAACGCAACAGCATCCGAACATAACCGCTCTCTTGCTTGTCAGAGCAAGAGATGAAAAGTTCAGAAGTGGAGCCTGTGTTTGGTGGCACAGATCCTTTCCTTTGCAACTGACTGTAATTTCCTGGAGGAAGACTACGAAGTTGAACCAATTGATGCTTATTATGCTGAGCTATTTCCCCACCCTGGAACTGATTTTCTAAACAAGGAGTTACGGCAGTGCTGGAGAGGGGGAAGCGCATGTCAAGGAGAGCTCGGTGCGACGGTAACGGGTTTGGTTGAACGCTAAGAGATTTTGTGTTTGGTTTTTGTGAAAATCACCCAGCAGTTAACCGATTCCTGTAATGCTTACCTATAGAAAATGGAGTTTGTGATCAGCCTGTGAGAATTCTCCCACCTTTTCTACATTTGTCGTCACTAGTGGTTGCATATTCCCATCTTCTGGCAGAAGGATTTATGAAGCAAGTGGCTTTGCATTCTTATATTCAGAGAAGGACAGTCCCTGTAGCGAACCACCAGCTTCTTCCCAACCATGGTGGCAAAAAAAGCGTGGTTTATTTCCAGGATCTTAAACCGATTCGTTAACTGCGATGCTGTGACGAGCGCTCTTGAACCTCCCCGCATCGTTTGAAGTGAGCAATATGGCCCGTCTCTTTGTGAACACCACCTTCCGTAGCACATATAATGCTGGTGGCATCCTCAAAGCTTTTTAACAAAAATTCAAACAGTTTGGGTGAGGGTTTTTTTGTGCGATACGGCCACTGCTTTCTTCCTGCGCTTGTAATTTCTGTTTGACTCAGAAGGAAGAGAAAGGAGGGAAGGAAAGCAGCCCTGCACTGAAAGCACCGAGGGTCCGTGCACTTGCAGATACCGCTCGGAGGAAAGGGAATCGCCTTTGCTGTCATCTTTACAGGTGTCTGAATCACCTGCTGTTCTAGTGACTAATTCATGACGTTCTCGAGATATTTGTGTCACACCTGGAAATTACAGTCACGCTGCACCTACCTAAACAGCAGACACTCTTGTATATATTTGTGCGTATATGTATCTGGTTTTGATTTTTTTTTTTTCCCCCCCCAACTGTGACTCTCCCGTGCCTGTAGCTGATAACGACCATGTCGGCCCCAAAGGACGGATGGGTTTCTTCCTTCTCTTTCCTGCTCTTCTGTGCTTCCTCCATCCCGACGTGGGGAAGTGCGAGTCTGCTGCAGGAGCTGAGCCCCCAGGAGTATTTCAGTAGCCTGCAAGCGGGCAGAGCATCCCTGGCTTATTTCAGCCGTAATGGTATGTATTTAACAGTATGCATTTCTGTCAGCCCGGGTTTTCAGCAAAGGGTGGGTGTGAAAGTGGAACAAAGAAGAAGCAATTCTTGAGATTTTTAAACCCAAAGAGATTTTGGCAAATTTGAGTTTGCAGAGCCCTGAGTGCTTCCAAGCGTCAGGGACATGTTGGGTTGGATCTTTCCTGGCTGTGTCCCCAGGCACACTCTTT